ACCCATGAATTTTTGTTCAGAATCACGTTACCGGCAAAGTCTTGCTCTTCCTGATCCTATGCACTGACAGTCAGTCGTCACAATAGTGGAGCCCTCCTCACTTCATTTAAAGATTGATAGCGTGACTAATCGAAATACTGTTTTGGCTGATTGTGCAGAAATGTTCAAACCTCACCATTCCCTGTTCTAATTTCACATCTTGACAAATTCAAGTTTCATGCTAGGTTACATTATACTATACTGAGAAATTAACTTCTATGAAATTATATATAGAGCTCTGTCAGTGCTGTTATAGCTATCCCATATATGGTGCATTGCATTTGCAGTGGGTTCACTAAATGTTTGTGGAAGGATCACATTCTATAGGGTGAGCCCCGGGATTTGGCTCTTTCGTAAGGAGCAGGCCGCGAGCCAAAGTGTTAGGCCCCATCCACAGAGGTCATGCCTCGCCGCTCAAGACGCGTGTAGACGTTATTCACAGTTCCCTCATCAATAGAATAATCAAATTCGCGAAAAGAAGCGTATACGTGTCGACCACAAAATCTGCGCATATGCGAACGCGGAAGCGACGGTTCGAGACGGTATCTACGGTAGCCAACTCCACCCCTCACCATCAGCGTTTCGCGTCATGGCATCGAAAGCGTGAAACAATGGGTCACCCCAAATTCACCTGATCGATATACAAACATTTTTTTCCGAGGGATTCGCAGATTCAAATGCGCGATTCAACGCCCATCCCAACTTGCCAATCGGCCACTCTCAATTTGGGGATTGATACTCATATGACTCCTTTTTTCCTTTTTTTATCCGCACATTCGGTCGTTTCGCGCGTCCTTCGGCCATGGCGCAAGGTACGCCTTAGAGCGCTTCGCTGGGGATTTGCAATCATTCGTTCTCCATACAACCCTACAACTCCCCCTCCCCCCCCCATCGTGGTTGCTGTAAGGGTCAGCGATAACGCGCGCGGCTATACGCAAGATAAGCTGATTGCACTTCAAGATAAGAAAAAAGATCGAATGGCAGCAATTATTGGTTATGTTCAAGAAAGCTCGACCACCATTTTCCCATTCCAGATAGAGCTGCGAAAAGAAGGGGAGTCTTGTTCGTGGTGTAGTTGGCAGTCCTTTACCATCTCTTTGATTTTACAAGTCACCCACCCCCAAGCCCCGTCATTAAGCGCTCTTACACGCTCACTATATCTCGAGGTTTGCCTCTAAGTCCAAAGAGGAATTTGCTACAAACTGACGTATTGATGGAGAGTTCGTTCAGTGGAGCTATTGGTAGAGGATCGAGTAGGATCATACCAAATTTTGATGGGAGAAGGCAACCGTTGGTGGATAATTTTTACGAATTCTTCTTGCAAACATATCATTTTGGAAATTCCTTTTCAACACTCTTCAAAATTTTCGAATGCGTACATTATTCAACACGGCCTCTTTTTGGAAAGGTCTTCAAAGACACGGATTGGGATCAATTTGGTCTGACATTTTGTTCGAAAATTAGAAAAGAAGTGCGATGGGAGCGTCAGTGGGAGAAAAAGCAAAAGCGCCATAAAAACACTGGAATTTTCCTTGTGAGGTCGGTATGACGGAGAGACACAGCGCTGCGAGGAGAGGAAAAACGCGAGAGAGTAAGTCGTATGCGAGAGAGCGCAAATGTCGCGTATGCGGCTACTGCTGGAGCGCAGCGTACATAATAAGGCCGTAGCGCCATGGCCGCGCGCTTTGAGTTACGGCACTGTCGCGGCCTTTGGGCTTGGAAAGCCCCCTTTCTCATGCAAGGGGGGGCTAAGTGTTGGATACCTGATCCTGATCCGTGGCTTCAAATCATGAGAGAACTTCAGGCTGACCCCACAGCATCTTTGAGGGCTTCAAATTTTTTGCGAGATTTTAACAAATGTTTGGATGTTTATGCATTGTAACAATCTTTTATGCCTCACACTTCGATGTGGGTTTTTCATGTTCTGAGCTGTTCCTTGATAAGTTTGAATATCAATCTCGACACTTAAAGCAACAGTCCCAGCAGGGTGGGCGTGGTCGGAAACGACTGCAATCCCCTCGGCCGATTCCGACCACGCCCACTTCAGCTCCCTGTAGCGGCTTTCCAAGGTGAGTTTTTGTTCAGTCACACTTCTTACGTTCTTGACTAGGGGCTGAACAGCTCCGAAGTGGGAATCGGCCGAGGGGATTGCAGCCGTTTCCGACCACGCCCACCCTGCTGGGACTGTTGCTTTAAGTTTGATCATTATCCTTTGTACCCAAGAAAAACGGAGCGTACCTCTTGATTTTTCCATGATGTCTGTATATGTATACACTGGCCTCAAATAAAACTTCTATTGATTATTTGTTTATCATGCGCTTATGGTGAGCCGTCGCCATCCATCAACAGTGTTACTATAGTATAACACAGAATTGTAGTACAGGAAACGCCTCAAGAATACAGGTGTCCCATTGGATTGCCGTAGAGCTCGAAAGATAGGCAGATCCACGGAAAACTTAGCCCGAGTCGAGAGCGGAAAGGCATAATACTGTGCTGCCAATGCCACACGGTGACCGACTAAATGAAAAGTGGAAAGACCAAGACTTCTGTAATTTTGCAATTCGACGGCAAGCGTTGTCTCACTGTGCCTAGAATTGCTTTTGGGGACTATGTAAAATTGTTCTGCTCGCATGAATGGGTAACAGATCAACAGGCAGCTGCTCAAGCACGACAACCTTTTTTGGAAGGCTGATCAGTATTCATAACCAATGCCATGTGAATGTTGAAGGCATGGGAACAAATGAGCCAGACACTGATCCTCTCCATCTCAGAGGCATAGCCAAAGCAGAAAAAACTACACTGGTGTACAAAATTTAAGGACGAGACAGATGAAGTATCATAACATTTTGATAGCTTTGTGGACCGTTTAGCGGTTCCTGTTAACTGCATTCTTCAGTGCCCTGTGGCAGCTCTTTGTACAGGGTGGTCCAAAATTATGAGGACCAAGACATTGTGTCGTTAAAAACGCATAGTAGCTTGATGGAACAAACAACTTCAGGGAAGTATTTGTAACTCTTACCTCAAAGTAATTCCAGAATAGAATTGAGATCTGCCACTTGCCCCGTTAACACGAGCCTTCAGATGAGGGGGATGGCGCGTGCGGTGGCACGCAACTAAGGCGTGTCCAAATGTTTCCAGGCCTTCTGCTCTGCCTTCTTCAGGGAATCAAACTTTTGTGTTGCATTTATTTGCGCTTGCATCCAGGGTGTGAAATACAGAAATCTAGAGCTATTAGGTGGAAGGTTCCATTGTAACAATTCTTCGAAAGCAACGAACTCGAAAAATCGCTTTTTAGAGATTTTTGCTTTATTCTTGGGTGCTCGGTCCTGTAAAAGTCCCAAGTAGACTACTCGTGTGGCTTTCTATCCACTACAGATGTGGAGTCTTTAGAGTGTCTGGCTGGGTTTTCACATCAATTTTTTCATTTTGGGTGTACGAAAGTCGACAAGGGGAGACCTAGTTTCTGCATCTGATAATTATCCTGGTGGTAACTGTAACTTTCGAGTCCCCGAATTTTCCATCTGTGGTGATTCCAAACTTATTGAAGAGTTGAACTGTTGCTCATAAGGGCTTCTCTGATAGGTTAGACTGCTGCTAGATGTAACGTGCCAGAGCCCCTAGTGAGTTCAATTTGAGGACTGACTCAAAGTGAAGTAGTTATTTCACTAGTTTTGAGAACTTCATGAAATTTGGTTTCATTAGGAAGAAGACATTGTACCCTTTCACATAGTGCACAGAAAACGAGATGAAAATGGAGCGATACGGAAAAAAGTGGATATGACTGCGCGCGCACGCGGTCCTCATAATTTTGGACCACCCTGTAGTATGTATGGTTAGGTTCCATGGAGTCATGTTACGCGCCAGTAACACGTCATTGGGAAAGCTACGTTCGTCCCTAAGTTTTACACACCAGTGTATTTTCTCCCGCGAATTAGCTTCGACTGAGGTCACTGGATTGGTGTGCCGAATTTTTCAAAGTTATGTGAAATCTCAGATTTGGCTGGGATTTTGCCCATATGCTCATACGAATAACACGCATAAAGCATCGAAAGCATTTTCAAATTTATGCAAAAAGCAAGAGAGGAAAACTCGCTAAAGAATTAATCACTTGCTCACTAACCTATGAGCATTGGTCAGAAGCGATTACTATAAAGAGAGAGCGCACGCTGGAATTTCATGCGCCACATGAAGCAGTAGCTTGGCTGAAAAGGAAAACGAGCCATAGCGCTTTCACGATGGAATGTGCGGTGATTGCTAAGTAGTA